CAGACGCCAGCTGCACCAGATGGTTTTGAAATGCGTTTCAGAGGAGGGACCTAACTGACGAATTGCGAGTCAGATGGCCTGTGGACGACCATGCAACTAACCAAACATTTTCCCCTCTATTTGTGCATTTCTTACAAGTAGTCAAAGTTCTTACAAGATATTGTTGTTGTTTGTCTTATTATTTATTGGTCAGTAGTTTAATTCAACTTGCAGCTCATATTTGTTACCGATGCTTGTATTATTGCGATTGAAGTAAAGATTTTAATACCTCAAGTTTTGAGGTGTTGTGTGGAAATACGTGGCAGACAACCTTGGTGGGGTTTTGGTTGACAAGTGGTACGTCATCGTATCATACGTTTATAGATCTAAATATCATATCTTCTATACTTATTTCACAAAGGCACTTCCATAAATTTGCAACGGTTATTGAATGCCTTTCTTCTCGTTAATGTTCAGGGCAGCGGTGATTGTGCACAATCATACGTTCGGCTTGTAATCTTTAGAAAAGAGCGCTGTTAGAAATCTGTATCTGTTCAGAGGAGTTTTTCTATGAAAAGGGAACGATCTCAACTTAAGGCGGCGAACCGGAATGAACCGCATATCGTAAGATGCGTCTTGATGAGCTGAGGTTGTAATCTTACAAGCTGTTAAAAGTGTGCATTCCAGTGTATAATGTACTTTAGAATTCAATTCAGGAGTGCATGATAGCGTGATATTGAGTATACTCATTTCAAGGAATGCTCACATTTACCGGAAAAGCAAATAAGTGTTTTTGAATGACTAATTTTTGAAGGTGTGGCGCTGAATGTTTGCCAATTAGATTTTGGAGGCTTATAACGTTTTCTAAAGAACCCCTTCGCAGATGTGGAAAATAGATTTGGAATCAGCTCATTAAGACGAATTTTATAATATGCTGCTCAACACAGCCACCTTAAGCTGGGATCGTTCCTGGTAAGATGAGTCTCTTGTGCTCATTGGATATGACGAGCCTCTCCGGGGTAGGGGGACGAACTCCGCCGGTTCGAACCGCCTTCACGGACTACTGGTCCTGCAACGGCATGCAACAATCGTTGCATGTCGTTGCAGGACCATGTCAAAAATATTAATATAGCAAAAGGACTAGTTGCCAGCGAAGGATGGCTCAAACTGGTTGAGTCCCCCTTTGCGCCTCTCCCTCCCTTTACAAGCAAAATTCCGCATTTCTTGTCGATTTTTAGCAAATTTCTTGAATTTGCAGTACATCATATCACTAAGGACGTGCGTGATGCGAAAATTTTATATAAGTTATTCAAGGTATACGGAGAATCATTGTCTGGATGAATCCATGAAATCTACATATATGACTAGTCGAGATGTGCTTGTTGCAGTTGCGCGACCTTGGGGCCAGTCACGTTAAAGGCAGTGTCCGGGCAAGATGGAGGTTTTGGGATTTCAGTGCCATGCGAGAGTGGCCCCCCTCAGACACAACATCGCGCAAGTGCGACGTCATAACGCTCGACCTAAAGCAAGAAAAACAACCAGAAAGTGGGGAAACTTACGCCTTGAGGCGGGGTCCTCCGAACTGTCCGAATTCCTGCTTGCGGCAGGGTACGCATGCCGCTACAGTTAAAATATGGGGTCCCGCAGCGACCTGCGTCTCTGCCTTGGTGGGAAGCGTCGAATTTCAAATTGTGCGGCTTTGAAACGTATGTTCTCGTCGTTTTCGCGCCTTCTAATGTGGATTTTCAAATTCAGCGTTGCGGATAACCCCCGGTAAGTGGATTTTCTAAAAATCGAGTTTTTGGCCGGACACTGCCTTTAAGTGCACAATTGCAATAAGGATTTTCTCGTCCTTTTCGATTGCTTCCACGGCCATTATCGCTGTGCAAAGGGACTTACTTGCACCGTATTCACTGTCAACAAATATAATGGAAACATTTTTGTCGTTGAAGGTGTTGACAAAGTTGACTTGGTGGCGATTGAGTTCTGCTGGAGTGCCTCATTGACCTATGTGTTCTCTTCAAGGTATTCGGTGTCTTCGACAGATGTCGCCTAAATCTAATGCTTTGGCTGGATTCCATCCTGAAGCGCGTGGCTAAAATGTATTGGATAACGTGGAGGCGAGGGGAGGGTTGAGGGGTGGGTTGGCTCCTTCCTCCATCGTGCTCAGCAACTTTGTTGCTGCAATCCGCATCGAGCTAGCGTTAACCAAATATGTGCGGAAGCTATGCCAGTACTGGTGTGGAGCTTTGCGGTGATTTAGAACATAGAAGCGCTCATGTCAATGACAATTTGCCCGTCTAGAAAGTCTGACACTTATGTTCTTTTCACCATTCGTGCCAGAGCCCAATCAAATTTTTTTCTTATTGGGATGGGAAACACAGCCTGGATCAGAAATCCGTTTAGATTTGGCAATCCCACCGGTCAGATGTACTGCTGCATTGATGGAATCTTTGACAGCAACTACAATGGCTTCATAAGCTGTGCTCTAAAGCATACCTTCGATAGTCAAGAGACAAAGCCTAGAAAATGATAGTTGTTTGAGTTCTTGCCCCCTATAAAAAGTGAAGGTTGTTTTGGAAAAAATAGATGGAAATTTAGAGATCTGAATTGAACCAGGAAACTTGAAAAATTCATATAAAACAGAGGCCAACACATCACCAAATTTAAAACCTTATCTTGGTGGCTACGCAGATTTTCGTCTTCAGAATTGCCGGTTAAATTGGGTGGCAACAGGAACAAAGTTCTTTTCTAATTGAAAAAAGCGTTAGCTGTGGCGGTAGTTGAGAGACCGAAAAAAGGCAAACTTGTCAACAACTGAATTGAACATGTTAAACATGTCTGAAAAGTTATGTTGCACATCGACGCCAATCTCATTTTTGACGCGTCCTTTGAATTTTCACCCCCGCATGGTCGTTTCGTATCCTGCGACGTTGTCTGGATTCTTCCGCTCATCATTCTGAGCAAGTAACGTCCAAGCCGGAGAAAGTTCGTTGCAAAAGCATTGAAAAAGAACAAGGTAAAGAAAAACGCACTTTTTGGTAATTTTCACAAAAAAACCGGCATAAGCAAAGAAGTAAGCTTGGCGACGTTGTCTACATCATAGACAGAAACAAGACCTATCGAATACACAAAAAAAACCGAGTGAAAAGAGTTGAACTGAAGAAAAAACACGAGGTTTTCGAAAACTCCGTTTTTCCTATATTTCTCGTTTAAATCATAAAAAAGAGTCTTGCGACGTTGTCAGCGTGAAAATAGAGATCAAGAGCTTTGATATGATATATAGATTGTCGAAATTGGGCTCCCAACAACGAAGAAAAGGGTACCAGAGCCAAATGCCCCGCGCCCCGCTTTTGGGGTAGCGAGGTGGCGCGCAAGTCGCGGAGACGCAGACGAGCAGCGGAGACAGACCAGAGCCGGCGGGGCATTTGGCTCTGGTCATTGATCTCCGCGGGATCATTACGAAACCCTGTAACATTATATATCTTTGTGATCCTGATGAGACGTCCAGGAGCACTGACAACGTCGCGGGTCTTGAAAATCACTCCATAACGAGATAGACCAGCATTTAAGTAGCGACTCTCTGCGCAAGATCTGAGCGCAGTTTCTCGTTTCTATTGAGATCCAGCGGCATTCATGAACTTCAAACGCTTAATCGAAGTCTAGAGAAAGATTAATTGAGAAGTTTTGCTCCAGTTCCTAATTGAATTTTTGAATAAAAGTCTTTAGCAAAAAGGGCCATAAACACGTAATCCTTCGGTTTTTTGAGCTTCTTTTGGATGTCACTACTATATTTACCTCATTCACGTCTCTCCCTATATGGATATGTCATTAGTTATGCCATGATATCCGGGGCTTCGCCCCGGATGACTTCCCTCTAGGTGAAGGTTGTGTTCTATCATGACGCTCAAAGTGAAGGTCACCAGAGTACGTGGCTCTATGTATCGAAGGTATGCTCTAAAGGGTTCAAGGAGTGAATAACCTCACCAGCTGCCGCTTAAAGGGCAAAAAGTCGATATTGAGATTTTGTGCTTACCCGGGGCTATTCACTGTGCTGAATCCGAAAATCTACATTGGAAAGCGCGAAAACGTCAAAAAAGGGCTCTTACGCAGGAGGGAAATTGGAAGTGGGCGGGATTCTCCCAACTATTAATTTCGCAGTCCCAGCTTCTAGAGCGATCTTCCCAATTTCTATAGCGCCCTGAGATCTCCATCGGCCAGGTGCGAATGCATGACTTGAAATCGGAACCGAGAAGATCGCTGTTGAAGCTGGGAGCAAGAATTCACAGTGGGGAGGACCCCGCCCACCTGCTAATTTCCTTCCCTTCTAAGAGCAGTTTTTCGCCGTTTTCGCGCTCTCCAATGTGCATTTCGGATTCAGCGTAGCGAATAAGCCCGGGTAAGCAAAAAATCTCAGAATCGAGTTCTTGCCCGGACACTGCCTTTAACACGTTTCGGACCGGTGCTGCACATGGTGCAGCACCCTGCTTTGAAGGATCTTTTTGACGTTTACAGGAGGTTTTCTCTTAGCCCAAGGTTATCAAGTCAAAGGCTAAAGCTTCTACTTTCCAAGTGACTCTGTAGAGTTGTGCCGCCGCTATTTGTTTAGGAGATATGAGCACAAATTGTACAACAGTTGCAACGAAGTGCGGCGACGCGAACGACGCGTGCGACGTCGCAACTTTTCTTTGCTTTGATTTCGAAGAGAAAAACCCTAGTTTCAATAATGATGTGTACCGTGTACAACATAGATACTTTTGATTACTATTAGAATCTGAGTTCTTGTTCCTATCTTTCAAGAAAGCACAAAAGTCCCTCTCAAGCGACAAAATTAAACACTTCGAATTCACTCAGAACTTTAGATATGCAGCTTATCTGACATGCTGATTACAAATGTGGCCCACAGGCTGCGAAATAAGGTCCCTTTGTAGGCTAACGGCTGAAAGTACACTCTTTTTCGCCGCGCGCGATTTCGCGGTCCGAAACGTGTTAAAAGCTCAAAGCGAGATAGTTTGCTTCCCATTGGCCCTCCATACTTTATCCATAGTGTATCAAATTCAAAATGTGCATCTTATTATGTACTTCCACCAGAGATAAAATCAACGAATTTGTGAGTAAGCTGTTCGTTTTCAAATCGGAGTGCTTCAATGATGCTGAAGTGGTCATGTTCGGGAAACTCCTATAATTTATATAAATGACATTCTATAGAAATTCGCTGTTTTCGCTACCAACTGACATGAGCTTCCAAGTTCAAATCCAGTTCCCTTGCCTCTTGCACCATGACCCGGTTCTGCTCAATCAGTTTGGGCGAGTCCTGAAAGAGACACATTTTGTTGGAGTGAGGGAGGGGGGGGGGGGGGAGGGGATTCGACTCGTATTCTGTCAGATCGTACTTGTCAAAAAAATAAAGAACAAATTTTTGCAGAGGTGTCTGCTCGAAGCTCGCACTTTTGAAGAAGTGGCGGTCCCAGAACTACTCGGCTGAGGTGGGGAGGAGGAGGAGGAAAGAAAGATTTCCTTGGCGTTCTAAACCTTCATTTACTGAGCCTCCGAGGTTTTGCATCTCATTGTCAGATTATTGAGAAGGGGTGGGCTATAGCCATGCTCTTGAATGGTTTGGAATTAAAATTATCATTAAAAAGCTTTCCAACATCTCTATCCGATAAAAGTGAAAACGAATCTATGAAGATTTAAATTCATCAAAAACGAATGATATCCAGACAAAACACAAATCCAGTCGTAAATACAGTGCAAGTGAAGAATATCTGGGATTTCCAATAAGCATGAGGTAGAGCAAAAAGTGCTAGATTATCCCATATCCCACCATATTTTTTCAGATCTGACTTTTAGCGGCAAAAAGTAGCTGTTGAGATTTGGGGTACTCAAAAAGAAAACCATCGGCGAAAACGGTGCCTGATCTACATATCTGTCAAGATCCGAAAAATCGCAAGACTGAATCGACAAAAGTCGCGTTTCAGTTCATAATTTTGCGGATTTTCAATTGCACATGCAAATACTGTTTGTATGACTACCTGATGTCTCCACATCAGGTAGTCATACAAACAGTTGCTGTCTTTTTCATTGCTAGAAATTGAGAGCTTTCCTCCAAATTGCAATGGCTTAGCGATTATGTTAATCCCTGACGAAAGTAATCAAAGTTACAGAAGTTATAAAGTGCGCAAGTGACTTTTTTCACTTAACGACTTTTAATTCAAACTGGTGTTGTAAAACGGCTGCCGCCCCTTTTTGCTTTGAAGATTTGGGGGCAGAAGCCTATTGAAAGCAAAAAAAAAGCACTCTCAAAATTTTTTCGAAACGCATGGCTAAGTTACTCCTCTTTATTCGAAAACTTGTCTGTCTCTTTCCCCTCCACCTTCTCAAGAAAGATAATCACATGAGCAGCCGCCCTCGTCTAGGAGTAACCTCTAAGATATTAAATCAACATCACCTTCAAGGCGATAAGAAACTGCACATGAAGACCAAGCTCCACTAGTTGAGCTGCACGGCAAGAGTTCTTACTTGCTTCATCAAGAGTCATTCTATAAATGATCAGAAGTGTAAAAAACTACGTATAGGACTTTGTCCAGGCAAATTTGGGCACCCGGTTTCTCTTGGGAACCTGTGGGACTTTTTGAGATGCATTTGACCATACTCTTCCCGAGCGTTCGCTGAATATTCCGTTCGGAAAATTTAAGATCTGGGTGAGAATTCAAGGATAGAAGCAAAACACATTCGTCTCTTAATGTTTCCATATGAATACTTGTAAACAGATTTGCCTGGACACTGGCTTCATACGAACCCAATTACGCTGCCGATCTCACAAAGTGGCAGCTCGTGCAGGTCGTACACTCCACAGATTAAGACGAGCTTCCGTATCCGAGAACTTTTCAAACGCACAGCGACTGAAACAATAAAAATGAGAGACCTCATAGGTTGGGACTGCAATTCACACACCACTGAATGCCAAGTGAGCGCCAGCGGAGTGCCCTGCTAGCGTGACTTCCTTCACGTTGGGATACTCTCTGAGTAAAAACTAGATCTAGTAATCAAATGAATGGTGTGAGCTTAGAAGCAATTAATTGCTAGCAGAAGCAAAAACAGGGGTTCTTACTTCAACACCGAGCGTCACTTGGGTGACCACTTCTGACAAAGGATGACTACGACTAGCATAATCGAAGCCGATAGCCGCCATGGCAACACCTCTTTTCACAAGGTTTACAGCAGCAGGAGTAACCAGTTTACGCGTTCCTTCCTGTATTGTGATGAATCAGCGTCAAATGATGGGGGACGGAGTTATGCGAAAAGAAAATACATTGGAAACGCAAGCGAGTTGAAGCACCGCCATTTCTTTATCATGCCATTGTATCGCGCAGAGACCCTTGTTGGACAAGACTCGTGTCGGCAAGCCACCTCCTCCTATCTTGCCGCGGAAGTATTAGTTCTCAACTGTAACTTTGGAAGTGTGGACTTTTACACTTATATAGTCTGGAGGTGTTTGGAGATGTAGTGCGGAGGGCGACAAATCGGAGTTACACTTGAGGGCAGCGTCCGGAAGTTACCACACAATTGACATGCTCCCCCGTATTCCTTCACAAAACGCGCGCAATTCGAATGCAGGGCCGAAATGAACAATTAGCTTGTTTGCAGCGCAGAGACAAGCATATTACATCAAATCTTGACCTGAGTCGTTTTGGAGCATGTATTTTTTTTGAATTTGAATTTTGAATTTTTCTATGGACTGCATCCACAGTCAATCTATCCCCGTGAGAAAACCGAGTCACATCGGGTGGCTCTCCTCTTTAAAGGCAGCGTCCAGGCAAGCCTGGACCTATGGGGATTTTACGTGGAAAGTACTTTTGAAGCCCTAACTAAGCCACTGCCGAACCGGCAGCTCAGGTAGTGCCCTAACGCCTGAGATATTCCCCTCGAAACTGGACCCCGCGACCGTGTTTCGCATGGATTCATGGCGCAAAGCGTGGATCCTGGCGCGAAACTGCCATGAATCCATGCGAATACGTTCGCGGGGGCCTGCTTCGAGGGGAATATCTCAGCCATTAGAGCACTACCTGAGCTGCCGCTTGAGCAGTGCCTTAGTTAAAGCCCCAAAAGTACTTTCCACGTAAAAGCCCCATAAATCCAGATCTGCCTGGACGCTGCCTTTAACGGCAGTGCCTTGGCAAATTCTTGACCTACATCTTTACTTAACCTACACTAATCTGACGCGTTAATCTCAATAATATGGAGAGCTAAGTCGTTGGACCCTTATGGTTAACACGTTTCGGACCGCGAAATCGCGCGCGGCGAAAAAGAGTGTGCTTTTAGCCATTACCCAACAAAGGGTCTGCGGGCAGTTTTCTTGGCAGAGGCAGCATACTATGCGCTCGGACCTGTTTTGTTTTCATATCTGGGATGTCAGCAACCAAAGTACAATTTCTTGATGTTCAGATTTGCCAAGCTACTGCCTTGAAATTGAGTGAGAACTCGTTTATTAGATGCGCTCCAACAAAACTCCATCGGGAGTGCTGCTCAACCTGATGTTTTTGTTTGCCGTGTCAACTTTGTCTTCTTTCTTTTTCCTCCCTTTTTTCATACTACTTCTTTCGAAAACATCCTAAAAAGCTGGAAATCCATTTGCGTACTGGATTCTGGTAGATATCACAATGACAATGGAAAAGTAGCTCCGGCATGACGCCTTCCGTGGGCCGCCTTCCAACCCGCCCATCCACCGATTTGCGGCACACTTCGACATTTGTTTCCAAAATGCGTTTTGGAATCAATGGGAAGGATTAACCCAGGTATCTAACAAGGGAGGTCCATTTGGTTGAATTGGCCTTTCCACATGAAATTGATTTGTCTATAAAGAGCATCGAACGCTGATTCTAAATCTGTCTTCGTTATCTGCCGAGCGCCTCTAGACATCGAGTTATGAGCGTTTTTTGAGTTGAAAAATTAGAATCATAATTCGCACAAAATTCGTCGGAATTGCTTAAATGTTCCAATGTTGATTAACAGAGCACTCTATTTGAACAATACCTTCTGTTCAAAACGCTCATACTTAACGCTGCTCTATTTGAGCGCTGAAAAGACCGTAAAATATGATTTTACCTAGAATATGCAGTAATTTTTCGCACCGGGAAAATATTCATAACTCGACATACAGAGGCCCTCGGCAGATAACAAAATTGGATTTGGAATCAGCGCTCGATGCTCTTCAAAGTGGCATAAAACTTATTTGGAAAGGCCACTTCGAATAATCGGACCTCCCTTGACCGGACGCTGTCTTCAAAGGGAAGCTGAAGGCTAAGCGACAAGTCTCGACGCGATATAGCGACGTGGCGCAAGAGTAGGACGGTGCTTCAAGTCTCCGCGTTTCGCAGGTAGGGGCTATATGTCGCCGATAGGCTCCATCCCGCGCTGACACCTGTTACAAATCTGCACGTCTGTAATGAGTGGAGCGGCGTGCTCTGTCGCAGATGTCCGCGTAAGCCTGGCGCTCCTGGCGACATACAGTCGTCCTCTACCGTTTTGCATATATAGTATGTTCCAATTCGGAGTAGGCGAGGCATTTGAAGCGGAGCAGCGCGTCCGCATCGCTGGAGGCTTTGCGAGCGGACAGTCCTGGCATTTTGACAAGTAAAGACTGAGGGAATGAAGAGACACAGACATGGATTCTTGTCACGATTTTACAGCATAGCTGCGAAACGCTGCGAGGCGGATTCCCGCCAATCCAATTCCCGCCTAAATAGGATTGGAACTTACTGTACTACCTTTATGCTTCCCAAGTGACAAAATGCTACAGTAGTTTGCTGACCTGCCAGTAACCACCATGAATGAATATAACTAGCTTGCTGCTTACTTCCCCCCAAACGTCGATTCTTGTCATGTCGTTTGCATCATCTGAAAAACTGGACGTAGAAATTAGAAAAGAACGTTCCCATACCTTTATATGGAATGTCTTCAATGTGTGCCTCCTTTCTGAGCTCTTCACAGGTTTCAATTCCAATCCTTACATAGTCGTTGATAACCTAAATTAGTTCTTCTCCATGGTATCCAGGACCCGCAAGTCGGTCAGCACTAAGGATGGCATGGATGGTTTGCAGTTTGGTAATAATCAGGATCCTTTTTGCTAGCAGCGAGAGGGCACCACTTCGGGCTGCACCGACTTCATGGTACAAGTTCCAAGCTATGGTTGCATACCAGTGGCGGTTGAGCCCCCCCCCCCCCCGGAGAATGGTTCGCGAAATTTTTGAAATTACTTTTATGGGTTATCAAATGTGGACTTGTTTATACTTGTAAATAATTTAAATAATTTGAAAAACCGAAATCCTGGGACCGTCACCGTTGCATTTATCATACCCCCCTTAGTAACGAAGGGGTTACTGTCAAATACGATAATGCAACGGCTACACAGTATGCATATCGATCAGCTTTGTCATGTCACAGTGTGCTCGGGCAGACATCAGTGGGTGGGTAGACCCCTGACCTTTACCATCCTTGGACATTCTGCAGCTCATATCTCGCCTCGAAAGCAACTGTTTTCGACAGAATAGGGCAATGAATTAGTGGAGAGGCCAGCATCGCATGTATCGATTTCTCAATTCCTCGAGTTGTTGGCCTAAACCTAGGGTGGACGGTTCCTCAAACCCTGATTATTTTCTGTGGGATGTAGGATCGGATCTGAGCTCTGATGGGTGCTTTTTTCAACTTTTTTTGTGGTGTTACACCTTGCGCATCCTGTTTGGTGTGTACCAAGTGAAGTAGGGTAAACGAAATGTGTGGAGTATTTATTCACACTGACGTAGATTAGTTGAGAGCGACCTATTATACAAACGGGGCTCCTTATATACGTGGATAGAAGGCGAAGCTTGCCAGGTACAATGTACAGCGTAGACGGGGTACATGGCTTATAAAGAGTTGCCGCCGTTCGGCTACACTCCTGGTGCAAAGATGACAATTATTCTCGAGATACTCAAGAATGAGTGGCCTGCAATTCAGCCCATAAGCATTCCATAGGCGTGATGTGGATAAATGGATTGATTGGGTTGATGATATAGAAATCATCAACATCCTGCCTCTTACTTGATGTATGATGACTTAAGCATTTTGAATGAATAAATATAAAGAAAGTTCTCAGGCACTTTAGAAATTTTTTTTAATCGGCTGTAATTTCAAGCGGATAGATCCTTTTTAAGTGTTGCAATGGACGAAGCTTCATACAAATGCTGCAATGAACGAAGCTTCACACAAAACATGCGTATCTTACTGTTAGGATGATCGGTAAAAAATGGAGCAGCTTGATTTTTATTAAATTTTGAGATTTTTTGTTTCGATCAACAATAAACTGACTGCAACGTAAACGTCGCTTGTATAAGCGACCTTCGCCTATTATTCTGGCAAAGCGTCAACGCTCCTCTCCCTCAACCCTACGCGTGGCGCCCTGAAGAACTCGAACAGGATTTTTGAACATCGCTCATTCTTGCGCTGCCATACCGTAGAGTTTTAGAGCAACTGATATACCATTTGAAAGAGCTCTTCATGCTCTTTCAAACAATATATCAAACATACAGGATTTCTTTCTATTTCTGGGTAAAAAAAGCGAAATACCTGAAAAATTGCAATTTTTTGGTGCAACAACCAATAAATCTAGTTTCAATCTGTATTTTCCGAAAATAAAAAAAATGTGAGCAATTTTTTTGCAAAGTTTGAGCTACAGGGCTGGAGTTGGCATAGAGGAGTAATTGAGCATGCTGATTACTAAAACAGCGGGAATAGTGAATTGGCATGTAGGCGTGGGCACAGGGAAAGGTTGTACTGGAATAGGGATGAGAGCTTTATCATAGTGTTTTGACAGAGCCGAGCGGAGCCGGGTAAGCCAGCTAGTAGATAAATAAAGACGACGTAGACACACTTCGCATACCTGACTAGGATCTGTTCCAGCCCATCGGCTACATGAGTAGAGATGAGTAAGCTCTGGGTTGGAATCCATCTGACCTAGCGTACGGCTTGATTTTGGTTCCGTTTTGGAGAGATTTTAGTGATTGTTAGATATGCGAAGGCGACTTGAATTCAGTAGTTAATTTGTGTTCCACCAAGAACTATACACCGAAGCATGTCGGTGGGAATAATCTTATATATAAAGCTGAATGTCTGTTTGTCTGTCTGTCTGTCTGTCTGTCTGTATGTATGTATGTATGTACGTATGTTCCGAATAGAAAATTCCATTTCTGAACCGATCCGGACCAAACTTGGCACACATACACTTCGGGCCCCGGCGGGTGTCATAGGCTACTTTTCGTCATCGATCGATATCGATTTTATCGATTTTTATCGATTTTTTTTGCTGAGTTCACCTACGGGGCTGGGAGTTGGCACAGGGGGGTAATCGAGCATGGGGATTCCGAATACAATATTGGTTTTCAGGATTATCGATTACTTTTAGCGATTTTATCGATTTTTTGCAAAGTTTGAGCTACGGGGCTGGGAGTTGGCACAGGGGGGTAATCGAGCATGGGGATTCCGAATACAATATTGGTTTTCAGGATTATCGATTACTTTTATCGATTTTATCGATTTTTTGCAAAGTTTGAGCTACGGGGCTGGGAGTTCGCACAGGGGGGTAATCGAGCATGGGGATTCCGAATACAATATTGGTTTTCGGGATTATCGATTACTTTTATCGATTTTATCGATTTTTTTGTAAAGTTTGAGCTAGGGGGCTGGGAGTTGGCACAGGGGGGTAATCGAGCATGCTGATCATCCCCAAGGGGGGTGATCAGCATGCTCGATTACACCCCTGTGCCAAATTCCAGTCCCCTAGCTCAAATTTTCAAAAAATCGATAAAATCGATGAAAGTAATGGACGATCTTGAAAACTAATATTGTATTCGTAATCTGCATGCTCGATTACCCCCTGTGCAAACTCCCAGCCCCGCGGTCAGACTTTACAAAAAAATCGATAAAATCGATAAAAGTAATGGACGATCCTGAAAACTAATATTGTGTTCGTAATCAGCATGCTCGATTACCCCCCTGTGCAAAATCCCAGCCTCGCATGTCAAAATTTACAAAAAATCGATAAAATCAATAAAAGTAATCGATAATTCTGAAAACTAATATTGTATTCGGAGTCCCCATGCTCACTTCCCCCCCTGTGCCAACTCCTAGCCCTGTAGGCGAACTCTGCAAAAAATCGATAAAAATCGGTAAAATCGACATCGATCGATAACGAAAAGTGGACTGTGACACCCGCCGGGCCCGAAGTGTATGTGTGCCAAGTTTGGTCCGGATACGGCGGAGCCGGGTAAGCCAGCTAGTAAAATATAATAAAATCGTAATGCCAAAACATCTTGAGAAAAAAGTATGACGAAAATGATTGCACTACAGAGAATCATACTAGGCGCATCGGTTTGTCAGGCAATCTGAAAAATCTGTGCGGTTAAACAAATTGATTACTAGAATGAGGACGGTTACTTCGCAATTTTACATTTTTGATGGTACAAGTTTGCCAAAGAAGCAACCTGTAATTACATTGTTGAGAAACGAAATACTCGGTCTTTCAACACATCTTGAACAAGAGATATTAATCAACCAGTAGTACTAAGAAGCAGTTGCTTTGCTATAAGACAAAACAGGAAGAGGTTCATATGATTTTTTTCTATCAAATCATTTCGTAATTCTTTCTCAGTTGATTTTTTACCCTTATAACTTGTGGTCTCCCTACATTGTAATTGCAAGTAGCTTGATTTTCTCTCCCATTCGATAGAGCGAATTAAGCTCCACAAGGTGGCTTTCAAGATTTACACCTAGTAGATTGATTCACGTAAACTTTGAAGCCAGAATTCAAAAATTGCAAATGTCCGAGAAATCTGAAAAACACCGCACATTCGTCTAAAAAATCCTGAAAATCTTTCAATCGTTTCAAAAATTCTCCAAATCAGACTTTTACGTATTGCCGTATTTTCTTGACGGTTAGAAATTAGGAAAATAATGCGCATAATTTTTCAAAATTTGCTCCTAGCGGTTCTGTGTGCCTTCATATGTGGTAATATGGCTTACTCATTCAGAAATACAGAAGTTCTAACGGGAGTGCTTTTTTTGAAAAATGTCGGTTCAAGATTCACATATAAAAAATATAGACATTCTATTTCAATACTGTATCGGAGAAAGGGAAAGGATATGGTTATAAGAGCTTGTCTTGTATCCCAATTTCTGAAAACTATTAGGCGATTGGGGAAAATTGCAACATTACCTAGTATTCAGGGTAATGCATAGTCAGAGAAAACCATGAGAAAATTGCCGTAGGCTCTACTTGTGATGCTTCCAAATTCGACTAAGCTGATGGAAAACCAAGTAACAGCATGTAATGCATGATTTACATCAAAAGGATCGTTGAAAGACTTGAGAGTGGAAATGGCAAGCAAGTTAATGCTCTGCTATAGACTATAAGTGATAGTAGAGAAGTGTAATCGATGATTGTTCGATCGTGAACTGCTGGTTAGCGTTTGATTATCGCTTCCTGGCAAAGGACGTGATCGCGTTCCAGATTCGCCTGCGAAATATTATTGATATCTTGGAAGTCATCATCAGCGCGAACCACTTTATTGGAGGGTTTAGAAATTAAGTCTTATCCTCGTAGACTACCTTTGTAAGATAAACACATGTTTTTTTGAGCAGAAACCAAACATAAAAACATTTTGTTTGGTTGCCAAGGGGCAATGGTTATTATTTGGTTATCATTTTGCGCAATTTGTTTGCCGTCGCCGTCTGTTCAAGAACAAAACGTTTTCTCTCACGCAGCACTCCTCTTGTCTGATCTTTGCTCTTATCACCTGTTCTCTCTCAAATGTCCTAGTGATAACACGATATTATAACAGAAAAGAAGTTCCTGATTTTTTTGCTACTTGAGAATTCCACAAACTTTCGGCAGGTTTATTGGGACACATAGGAAAGGTGCGAAGCATCACCCTCAGGCTAAATTTAGTTCCCAATTTGGCGACATTTGTGCACACCATTATAGGGCATTCTCTCATTCTCTCTCGAAGAGCGGTACTATCCGTCTTTATTTCATTCCTTCTCATTTGTTCCCACCCTTTTTTCCTTCAAATTCGATGGTTGGAAGGTGTCCGCAATCAGAAAGATCGAGAGCTTTAAGCTCGCAGCTGAGAAATTTACAATAGAAAAGTTTTTTGAACTTTAAAACATAGTCTCATATGTTGAATTTTGATCCAGAAGTAGAAAATAAGTTATTAGAGGAGCCACCGCAAAGTCTTTAAATTCATATACTTACTATCTTTCAGGCCAATCTCTCCTATAAAGCATTTGCCCATTCGATATGCCACCTCGTATTCCAGTTGATTTCTTTTTTGACGTTTTCTCACCCTACAGCTGGATAGGATTCGAAGTTTGTTGGAAAGTCAAAGTTGCATTGAAGCTTGTTTGGAAGCCCTAATAAAACCTATTTGAGGGACTGCTAAGGTATAAAAATGTATGGCCTATTGATGTTCGTCTGCGCCCGTTCTACTTAGCTGGAATAATCAAATCAACAAGTAAGAGTTTTTCCTAGTTTCACTGAAATAATTTTCTGATTTATTTGCCTCGTCTAATTCTTTATCTTAGAAAACCCTGGTGCACCTATGATGCTGGCGCAAAAACATAAATATATGGAAATGGATCTGAAAAGGAACTCCAAGTACTGGGGTATACCGGTATCGCTTCCAAAGGTTAGACAAACGTTTTACTACTTTCCTACAAGGTAATTGTTTTAGGATTTCAAAGATATTGTGTTCACGAACTCGTCGGCTGGTGCACAAAGGTTATTGATAGCTGTGCAGAGGAGGCAACAAGCAAAGATGGAACAGATGGCCAGAGCAATGTGGCGACGGATGTTCACAGAACACACTGGGGTGCTCGATCGAAATGCTTTGCTTGAAGTAGGTCGCAATCCTCAAACGAAGCCTAAAGATTTTCGAGATATCTGAGGTTTTTGCGAACCCTTAGCCTCGAAACTTAAAAAAATTTTCTCAAGCCAGGATCCAGAAATTTTCATAAGCAAAGGTAGAATTTCCATTCAAAAGACCATAAACTTCCAACTTGCTCATGCATGTTATCTCCACATCAAGCATTCATATCAATGTACTTTTTCCAAAGCTAGAATTTAAAAACGAAAATCTGTACCTGCCCAAGCAACGTCGGGCTGATCTCACATAAATGATTCTATAGCACATCAGTTCAAATGTAAAATGTAATGTATTTTTGTAAGCAGTGTTCTGTGATGAGTGCGTAGAAAGTTTTTTTATGAGCAGAAAAGCTTCAAAAAGCTTATCTCAGACGATTTCAGATTCTGAATAGTCTCAATGTGAAAAACGCTGAAGCAATGCTGGAGGCGTCGACTTCTAACGATATCAAAGAAGTTTTGAGATCGAACACTGACGATGCGCTTGCTATGGGTGTATGCTGCTAATGTTCGGTTACTAGGAGCGTTGGAATTGTTTTTGCAGTGTTTCGGAGCACCTTGGATTCATGTGCACACACCCAGTGGAAACGTCGAGCCATTTTTCGGTAGCGATCGCTTGCCGCTGATTGGTGATCTCATCGGTGAAGATTTTCAAGGACCTCTCAAGCAATTCGCAGAGGACTTTTGAGAAATTATACTAATAAATGTGTCTTGACTCCTCTATGATGCACAATTGTCTGAAATCAGTTTGAGTGATTACTAACTTTGAAAGTATGGGGCAGGTGAAATGCTTGTTTTTCTAGAGCATTCATAGTCGAAACTCACTTCCTGGAGAAGATCTGAACCAGACTGATTTGAATGTACTATATTCACTTTTATTCGGTGAATGCATGTAGCCGATAGTATCCGAGTTCACGCTGTGACTATGAGTACTTTACAATCCTATGCGTGACAGGTATTCGTAAAATAACCATTTATTTGTGCGAAGTTCAAATTTATGCTAGCGAATTTTTCAGCAGAAAAGAAAAGCTGCATGGGGCAACATAATCATACTCAGAATTTGAGCTTTTCAACCAAATGGAAGTTTTTTCGTGAAAAGCAAACATGTCCGCATCTGGAAATAGTTTGTGGAAGTGTTTCCGAACATGTATGCAAGAAAAAGTACCCAAACTGACGATAATACTGACGATAAAATTATCTCGCAGCACGCTAGAGGCAGATAGACATAGAGGATGCTTCACGAGAAAGGCGCGATATCCTTGGGCGCAAACGCGGCTTTAGTAGCCGCAGAGCGCATGAGACCAGGATTTACAACAGTGAAGATACACGCGCGCCGCGTTCGCGCCCGCTTAACTAGTACAGCTTCCGCGCCGTCGTCATTCAGTAGCCTTTTGATAAAATGCGCAGCGAGAACCACCATTTTCTTCAGTGGCGATATCAATGTTAAACTTACCCGTCAAGAAGTTGGAAAAGATCTCCGGATGCTAATTCAGCAGATGCATCGAAAGACGTGGTTTCTGGACTCTGGAAGTCATTTCGTAATACGGGTTTCTAAATTGGAATTCCTGCCTCTCTAAAGCTCTCGTTTGAGTTCAAATTACGTAAGTGCCGTTTATGCAATACTATAAAGATTGATTTGGCATGGAGATGAATCACTGGCAATGTTTGATCAATATCGTGATTAATCAAATATTGCGGGTGGCGAGCAGGAGGAACGATAGTTAATGGCTGTGGCTAACCAGCGTAACTTTTACCCTCATTTTTGCCCATACAAAAGCAGAATTTGGAGCATTTTCATCTTTTATCTTTAAATCTGAGATCAATTTGATCACGATTCTTCGCTTAGGATTAGATAACCTAAAAGTTCTTTTTTTGTCCTCAAGAGCTTACGCGGATAAATTATGTTCGGCGCTATTTTTCAAATCTGAATTTGAATGACTTATGAGCACAGCGGGAACTTGATCTTCCGAGGTGATTTAGTGAATGGACCGCTTAGGCAGCTTTGGGTGGTTACGTTGCGTAATATGAGCATAGATGATTAATTCTTAGTGCTTACGTCACTGCCTCTTTTTATAAGTGCACATAGTTTTAATGACAGAGGCTATAAAAGGACACACATTGATTTCTTACCTGACATTTCTATCGTGTTCTGTCCTTAACAACTTCTCAGGCTGCATGTTTTTTTATGCATTCTATGAATTAGCTCTTACAGCCTTGTACGTATGAGGCGTTCCCTATAGTCAGCGGATGTCATGGTAACAATGGCTGTCGACATCATTCATTAGATGTTCAGCCACTGCTTACAGTTTTATTCGTTTAGTATTCGAAAAAATTCCTTTCTGCTCATCTGCTCGATAAATCAATTTGTCTGTATTGTTGTTTTTGTTTATTGTTATTTATTGTTTTTTGTCTGTCCTCATTTTAACAACGAGATAACAGGGTTTGCTATGCATCAGTTTGAGGCATTGTGATACGTTTAGTAAGAGAAATTAAGAAGCTCTTTAGAAACTACCGCTAAGTAGTTATAGGAAAAAGAATCATATAAAACAATTGACTTTTGATTCACGTAAAATCTTATAGTCGGCTTTGTTCTAAGTACTTGACTCTAAAATGAAGAGAGACAGCAAATAAAAAAATGATCTCAATGCAGACCGAGCGCTGAAGGCGTGCGCTGCGCATGCGGCGCGGAGGTACCTATGGGAAGCTGGCCAAGACACACACTATAATTTCCTATCTATCTTATCGGAATTTTGCAGAAACTTGATTTTGAAGTCCCATTATTATTTTTTCATAATGAATCCATGAAACATTTTTGAATTTGTAGTTGCATGAAGCATTAGCTATAGTCAGCGATTACTTCCGCAATCCTATGATGAATGAAGTCTGTGAAGAACTTGATGAGTGTAGCTCTCCTATTACAGATGTTCTGCCTTCGAAGACGCAACAAGCTATGCTCGCATTCGTTCCCAGCTTATGCTGAGTCAGCTCCAGCGGCCCACTCCTATCCCGTTCAGCGAAATCTACCCCACCTCCCGCCGCCGTACCCAATAGAGCCGCTATCGTGTCCAATCAATTATTACCCTGCCAATGTGTACGGACAAGGCCTGGAAGGCGCTATGAATGAACTCGATGTGAGAATAACGAATGGGCTAGACGGCCGAAGTCACTACAACGCTGTACGGGATTCGTCTATACCTCCCCCACCGGGTGCTGTTATGATTCAGGTAATGTTTCCTTGCGATCAAAGAATGTGGCAAATAGATACATTACAGACACTTCAGCCTACAGCTCCTCCTTATCCAGAGTATTTTGGAGCAGATAACATGCATCTTACCCAACAACAATACATGTACCCGAGGCTATCGGCCAACGACCAAGAGTATGCAGATCAGCTGCGAGCTGTGCAAAAGTGAGCTCAAGACAACCCATTTTGAGTCATAATCACATTGTGTAGGGCTTTAATCTCATTACTTTTTTATCATTTTTCTTCTGCGGGTGCATCTACTCATTAGTCGTTCTAGTCTTAGATACATTCTATTTTTGAATATATACTTTTGCACAGTAAACTAGGATCATGCTCGTCATCTCATATCAACGAACTGAAAGTGTCTATAAACCTCTAACAACTGATACAATACTTATGTATTGTATCAATACGGTAAAGTAAAATACTGTAGTCACTCTTCAGGTCTTATCTATCTCTTCCCTCCTCTCTCTCTTCTTCTTCTTCTTCTTCTCCCTTCTCTCTTGTCTACTAACAATAAGAAATGAGTAGCAGCCATTCCATCCGTTTAAAAAATGTAGCTTCGATCCAGAGTATGAATGAAATTTGCACTGACAATGAGATCCCGGTCTTACCGTTATATCGTAATTAAATGTGTAAATGTCAGACTCTCTCTCCTGTTTTCGATTTTGGATGTTACTGTATGAATTTTATATCTGGACAGCCTAGCTTTTCACATGGATTACAAACGCAAATATCAAAAGTTTAGCAAGTTTGTTCATTATAGCTTACAGGACTTGTCAAAACAAACAACCAGCATAACAAGTGAGTTAATTTCACGACCGAATAATTGTTATTTTCTTGTTATTGAAATTTTTATTTGAGCTTAAGCCGTTACACGTTTAAACGCCTTTATTCGAAGTTCTGCTTCTGTAAACAACTTTTTCCAAGCTTATAAAAAATAATCCTTCAGAAAAGGGATGTGCTGGAAAAGTCGTGCCGCTCTAAACGCAGTTCCGTAAACTTCTCAGTATACTAGATGCTATGCCTTTGGTCGGATTAAACATTCATGTTCAATCAAAAAGTGATTCATCTTGAGAAAAAAATGCTCCATCAAGCTTTATCGATGCGAATTTGCTCGTTACTCTCACATTGTCAGTCGATTGTGTAGAAAAAAGGAAGGAAAAATCATCCAAAGAAGAACAACGTGGGGAGAAGGGCTGGGAAGGTCTACAAAACTATGCTTGGACTTTGGTCTGTACTAGAAAGCTCAAAGTTTTGATAGTGTGTTCCGGCAAAGTAAGGGTCTTTTCACTTTTATAACAACTAACCATGCTGCCATTGATTACAGAGAGCAAAAGGGATCAAAAATTTGGGATCAAAAATTTTACAACAACCTTTTCTTTAGAAACTTCAAGATTTTCAAAGCTCCTTGGGAAAGCCGGCTATTTTGAGAGCTTAGAATGGAGCGATGAAGGTTTGTTCGCTAAAAAATCCGTATATAGGGATGTCGAACTAGATATAGTGAGGATTAACACATAAACTTCTTTCTCTGATTTTTTATAGTCGGAGCAAAGAACAGGACATAATGTGGATTAATTCACTGAATTGGTCTACGAAGCCCTTTCTGTATAGTAATCATATTCCCAATGATATCGTAGAGTGTCTGCCAAGCTTGACATATCTCCGCATTAATCGTTCCTTTCATGCATATACCTAACACCTCGATTAGGCCCGGTACCATATGCTGCAACACAGTCAAAGAGCAATGAATATAACGAAATTATGCTCTCTTCCTACCTCAATGTGAAACTTGCATATGTTCCATTTGAGGTGGCTAATGGCAATCCTTGCGGTAGCTCCGATCAGCTTTTCGTCATCGTCCAGCACAGCCACAATGTTCTAAAATCAGTGATATAAAGGAAACTCTGTTTTCAACTACACTTAAAAGCAGTTGCCTTGAGTCCAGCCATGTAGACGATACAGTGATTGCGCAGCTTGTCTGAAGATATAAGAGCACTGTCTGGAATCTCCCGAAACTGCGGCCATATCAACTTGTAGTTGGGAAATTCAGCAAAAAGCCTGAATATCATCATAAATCTCAGATTTATCGTTTTCTTGTGCTATATCCAGTTTTACATTACCTGACAAAAAGCCCAACTCCATTTTTTGTAGATTCTTCTTCTAAATACTGATAGGAAGTTTTAATAAGCTCTCGCTGATCTTCAGTAAGCCTGGATATTTGGCTCCGCAGCGCTTCATCAACTCAACGAACAGATCTATCGAAGTCGAAGATAGAGAAGCTCAGATTCGTACCTAGTGCATTCTTGCACTTGTTGTAGTCCATCGCACACTTCCCAAATCTAGACTGGTGTACTTCTGATGGGAACTGGATCCAGATCAGCACAAAGTGACTGATAAGCTAAGGACTGCAGACGGGTGCCGTCCAGAAAGGCGTTACGGAAGCTATTAAGTGGCCGCTAATGAGTATATTAGGAGAAGCGCTGTCAGCCTTGCGTCATACATTAGTATGAAGGAACTATTAGGTATATGAAATCAGGACATGGTTGACCGAAGACTAACGAAAAGTTCAAGATGCGAATAATTAAGAAATGCAATACTCAGTGCTATCCAAGCCCATACTTATTTAGGGATTAAAGGCAATGTTTACTTTTTTCATTTAGGCCCGCATGCACGTACATCCCCGCGGGGAGGGGAGGGGATCTGAGAGGGGACGCGTCATATCCCGCCACTCCAGATATCTTTTATTTTTTTCTCTATCTGGGTTATGAAGGTTCTACGAAATAGTGAAAAACTAATCTTGTATGGCAGTAACCTGGCATCCATTAAGCGCAGGCATCAGGATAAGAGAACCTTCATAATCCAGATAACGAAAGAAGATAAAAGGTATCTAGGGTAGCGAGAAGGACGCGTCCCCTCTTGGATCTCCCCTCCCCTCCCCGCGGGGTGTACGGGATGTCCCCTCTCAGATCCTCTCCCCGCGGGGATGTGCGTAATGCGGACCTTAATTCAGCTTTCTGCTAGATTTAATAAAAAAGCTCGGACATCCTACAACGGAGTGGTCAGAAGTGGAAATGGTCATTTCAAACAAGCTGTCGTTAGATGTGACTTGAAATGCTGGCTCCGAATCTGTACTCCGCTGCTGAACGCCCTTGTGCACGAAGCTATGGGCAGTGTTATTGCAAGGAAATTGTACATATGAATTGCGAAATTGAAATAATCTAACAACGTTTTCAACTTCTTGTTTAAATATTCGAATAACTGTCTTTTGAAAAATATTCGAATAACTGTCTTTTGAATATTCGAATAACTGTCTTTTGAAATTCAATATTCTAATATTCGATTGTTATTTTTCCGAGTCGTCATATGAACGAATTATTCGAACGAAGACCTTTTTCGTTTATTCCACTATACGACTAATCGAATAATTGGCCTTTCTCGAATATTCGACTATTGAAATATTCGAACAGTCGAATATTTCGAATAAATTATTCGAACACGAATATTCGGTGCGAACCATAGTACATACAGTGCTGCTCCCATTTCCTAGCAACTTCATTAACTGACTTTGATGAAGACCATGTCCAGTGAGATCTACATGAAGTATTTAATCACTATGTATTTTTCACATCCAGGATTTGAATGAAGACAAGGTGAAGGTTGTTTCTGCACACACTAACAGGGGAGGTCCGTTTATTCGGAGCGGTCTTTCTATTTAACTCTGATGATACTTTGAAGAGCAGTGAGATGGTTTTGATGTCTTCATTATCGGCCAAATGCTTCTGGACGCCGAGATATGAACGTTGGGTTGAAAAATTGAATGAAATCGAACGAACTTCGTACAGAATGGTTCAAAAGCAGTTCAATCATCAGAGCACTTCATTTAAGAGGCAACTTCTGTCCAATACATTCATACTCAACACTGGAACGTTACGGTTTTACTTAGACCAGTGCGTCACCTCTGCTTCGCAGAGACTCGCACTGGCCCTACTTTCTGTATGCCTCACTCATTCCCACATATTAATGACATTGAAACTCACCGCGCTCTGTAGGCTATCGCGAATGATTCGTAAACAACTACTCATTCTTAGAGGTTTTTCGTGTAAGATCGGTATTTTCGCGTGGATGAATCCTCTCCCAGAGGAGTGAATGCAAATTTGAATCAGTTTTTGCACATTTTATGGCTTGGTAGCCGCCATAAGGACAACGAACATCGTGTGCTACGTCTCTGTGCAAAATTCTTCTCAATAATCAGGTAAAATCTTGGCGAATTGAACATGTACGCAACTAATTTTTTGGCGCCATTTTCGTAAAGTAGCCAACTTTAGTTCAGTTTTCTGGGCCATGGCTTCCACCTTAGCTTGCCAAACATATCCATAACTTTGCAAAAGGTTTCATACGGACCCAAATATGCTGACGAGAAGAAATGTGGACCCTCCTGACCCGCAAGTTTTAAAGGATCCGCTCAACGGATTCGCCTATGCTTTTGCGCAATGGACCTGCATGCTGCTTGCATATGCTATGCCAAGTTTGGGCTCAAGAAGCTGGCTGGAACTCGCTCTACGAATTTCGTAACGGACAGCACACACACGTACAAAAAGACGTGAACAACCCTTAGCCCGTTATTATAAGTCATGATACTGCGTTCGTTTTTCTCTTCAAAAACTCTCATAATCGGCGTCCAGAGGCGCTTGGCACATAAAAAAAATACAAATTTGCAGCAAGTTCAACGCACTTCAAAGCGGTATAGGACTCGTTTCGGAAGTGCTAAAGCTTTAGAATGATGATAACTCAGGAGAGGGTAGGCTTATCTGTGCGCAACCTCCACAAACTTTCTACTCGACTATTGAGTGTAACATTTTGAGTACAACAGTACCGCAGAGCTATTCAATGATTTTTCCATATCCTTTCTAGAAGATTCAACATCTAGTGTGCGCCTTAAGTCCACGTTCATTTGACGAAAATGCCTAGGACGTGTGAAAAATGTAGAATCAAAATCTGTTTGGAAAAGTTCTAAACGTGATAACTGTGCTTGAATATTGTCCCTTTTCACAAGAAAAACAATTTAATAAAGTAAAGTAATCTTATAAGGACCGAAAAGCTTGCAGCTCGATTGCGACTATTACTTATAGTCTAAGCAAAATATAAAACTTCAACCTTTACGTTGTTCACGTTAGGTATCAATGTTCAAGTGTACAAAAAGCAGGCATGTGCATCTTTCCAACAATTATAGTATGGGTTTTCTGTAATAAAATAGTGTGCGAAGACTAATGTTTGTGGAAATAGTAAACTAGCGGAAAAAAGAACATTATCACGGCAAGTTCTCGCAATAGCACCCGAAAAGCTTTGCAAAGTCGCCTATAGTATCTGTTTGGCTAAGCTCTGATAGCAAATGGAAGCAGCTCTGGAAAGAAAACAGAACGTATGCAATCATTTATATGTATGTTTTACATGCATAGTTATAAGACTGGAATGTCAGTGGATAAGCGGGAAATACCATAAGTAGCATTAGCCATGGAAATCCGTCTGGATTCGTGATCTGCGTATCTGACTGACATTGCATAACCCGTGGATCACACCTTCCAATTTTTTTAAACAATAAACACCTTTCGAATCCATTCCCTTTAGCAGTGACGTTGCAATTCAGAATAAGCAAGTTCTTAGGAGCAACAAACTTTTCTGAACTTGGTGAAACAAACGTAGTATCACTGTGCAACTTTTAGGTAATTTTTGTGAAGTTACCTTAAATATGAACAGGACGTAAAAGGACATTTCCTGCGCAACATTGGCGTCAGGATTGGAAGCACTCACTGCAAGACAATGCGTTATTCGATCACTCAGAATCGAACATAGTGTAGCATTTGCATATCAGTACTGCATTATAGATTTCAGCAAGCATGCCACATACATACCTCTCACAAAACGTGCAAAACTTACGAGAATGTTGCGACATTCCGCTGCAAGTCCGCGACGTCACGCGAATCACGCAAACTACGCAGCGCCATAACTTCCTTCAACATAATCTGAATCCGAAAGAAGATGGTACTTGTGTACAGCATGCCCCTGATATTTTATTTTCATTATTGTTGGAATCTGTGAACATCTTTTCGCAAGAGTGTAACTCAGCGCACATCACATGGAAGATCCAAGTAAGAGCTATTATTTGATGGTGCTGTTTCCACTAATTATCGAGCGCTAAAGTAGGTGGAGACTTCTTTCCAAAAGAGGAAGAAGGGCTGATTTATTCTAAAAAAAATCATATCCTCCCCAGCTCTACTTACCGTAACCCTATAATACGAATATCCTGCTAAGCAGATGTGATCGTAATCAGCAGGTAAAATGACCTTTTTGAGAGTTTTCCAAAGAGGCTGGATGTTTGATTTTTTCTCTTTCACCGGCCGAAATATTGATGACCTCATAGTTTGAAAAGCAACTTCGCTCATAAAGGTTTTCGGATATGGTAGTTGTGGGGCTTGTCACCTGGTTAGTTATTACATTATATCAGGAATTTTGTCTGAGATGTGAAGATCGCATACTTCGTCAAATGTCACCGTGAGCGATTGTATGACACGCTGACCGCAGTTGTTATGTTCATTTTGCTTAAGGGATCCTGCTGTAATTGATACGGAGTTAGACAGGTCCGATCTTTAGCCACGAAGCTGCTTAGATATACAACGAAGTAGCTGAAGCCCGCCTAACTACCGGAATGCCGCTCGATCACGGAAATCGCGACCTTCTCGGAAACTTCGCACGTTCTATGGGCCATATTGCATTCCAAACTGATTTTCGCACTTTCTCTAAGAAGTATTGTTTCTTTAGTATTAGGTTAAAAACTAATTTTTGCAACACTTCCTATCGTTCTTCTCTGAGTATGGCGCACCCATTTTTGGCGTCATTTGGGTTAGGGTGAGCAGCCCGTGAATCGTGCAAAATTATGTCATGTGTGGAGGTTAAGGTAAGTATGGACAGCAATCTAAATTGTCACAGATTTTGAATTTCGGACTAGGGGGTAGACATACTGATCACAGAATGATGTTCATTTCGCGTGTTAGGCTTTTTGGGTTATGCAAAATCTATGGCATGGTTTTTCACTCCGAAAATAATTGAATTGATGTATAAGTGAAACAACTCCTACATGCAAAGTTTCGGCAAAACCCGACAGTGCGACTTTTTTGTCATTGACGGATCCGCAAAGGTAAAACTGTAAGACCACAAATTTGACCTATTTCTGAAATGCTTAGTATTTTCCCATATTACCATGAAGAATAAAAGAGTTTGCGCATTCTGTGGCTCACTTTGTAGTTTGAAGAAAGACGGAATTTGAAGGCACCTTATTCAATGGGGAGAAATCACCAATGCTACAAAATATGATTTTCATTCTGTTAAAAACTCACCCACAATTCAGAATGTTTTCCTTCGAGGATTAGCTTATCATATATCACGTCTGGCCTGCATACGAGCACCTGACTCATGCCTCAATGGCTAAAGTCGTATTATAGATTCATTGCATGAAGATAATTGCCCTTTGCTTCACTCAAGTGACATCGAATGCCATTTACAATCATTCCTTTGCTACCCAAGAATTAGAGTGATCGGGTGACTAGTAGCTGTTGCTAATGCTGACGTCGCAAGCTACATATATAGGTAGTTGGAATCTTCACCACACCTCCCTTCAAACCATCTTTGGTGGCTGGCATTTCAGAACGGTAGCCGAATTACAAGCGATAATCAGTCGTACTACTTCACTTCTAAGAAGATGCGCTTACTTAACTGAAAAAAAAAATTATCTGAAGATCTTGTAGCTTTGATTGTGGTAGTCGCCGATGTTAGTTAAATGAAGGACAGAGATCATTTTTATCTCCAATCATTGTTTTCTGTAGCATAAGACAGTCGAATTCAGTGAAAAGTTTTACTTTTATCTGTGAAAAGTGTTTGCGAATAATCTTGCTGTTTCATGCGCATATACGGCACCTTATTGACGATGAAAAAGTTTCACTAGCTACGGCTGATCAACTACTGTTCGAGATAAACCGAAAAAATCCTATATCATAATAGTTGAAATCGACCAAATTATTTGCTCATAAACTTCTGGTATTCTCTCGCAATCTTGATCAAACTTGATTCGATAATCATTTGCGGACCCTATATGTACAACATATAAAAAACAGATTGCCAGAGAGATTAGATATCGGGATGAATATTTTACTGAAGTGGTTGATATTTCTTACAATTTGAAAGAATTCGCAAGAAGTATATAACCTCCTTCGTTTTAGAGATGACACCGAAATTCTGGATGGGAGTGCTACTCGGTATATCGACATTTGCTGGGTTACTATTAACGACGACTGTGATGTTTGCCGTCGTCAAGCTGGGTTTCAAACGCAAAAGCCCAATATATTTGATTTCCACCGCTAACATGTTCTGCGATTGCATACAGCTTATTTTAGCCATTACCTATCTCGTTCCATCTATAATATGCGACGTTAGTATAATAGCACTAACTTCAGCTTCACTCCTTGTGAAATCGTTGAATTCCTTCATTCTTTAATGCTGGTTATTCGAGGAGGGAAGACATAACAAGTTTTCGGAATTTCTTGGAGCTGTTTTCCTGTTTTGCTGGTATTATGGATCAGTGGCACAAATCCTCATGGCTATCAACAGGTGTGATACAAGGCTCACCATACATTTATCTATCATGATTCAAAAGAGTGTTTGAGAGTATGCGTAATTTGCGTACACACAAGTCGATTCTTCTCTTATCGGAATGTGCTCACTATAATTATTATTCTATTCCCACTAGCAATTATGGTTGCATGGATATCTCAGTATGTCAGCCCATGCTGCAAGTAAGTTTATAGGCAGCGTCCAGGAAAATCTGGACATATGGGTATCTCACGTGGATAGTAATTTTGCGACCCTAACTAAGCCACTGCTCAATCGGCATCTCAGCTAGTACTCTAACGACTGAGATATTCCCATCGAAAATGGACCCTAGGATCGTACTTCGCATGGATTCATGGCGCAACGCGTGGGTCCTTGCGCGGAACTGATGGGTTGCGCCATGAATCCATGCGAATACGATCCTGATCCTGGGGTCCATTTTCGAGGGAATATCTCAGCCGTTAGAGCACTACCTGAGCTGCCGGTTGGGCAGTGGATTAGTTAGGGCCCCAAAATTACTTTCCACGTAGAATCCCTATAGGTCCAGATTTGCATGGACGCTGCTTTTAAGAGAACTTTTATTTGGAGAGGCTGCTTGGAAAAATTGTTTCCAACATGTTTCATGTTCCGAGGTGAAAGCATGCAATGTTTTTGAAGCATCGAAAAATAAAACACAGTTCGAGGTCATTGCTAAATGGAATAACTTTGTTGCTTTTTCTTCTATATGATAAAAGAATAAGTAAAAGAGAAGAAGGTGTTATATTTCGCTTGATGGGTAAAAACACACAAAGCTTATCTAAAGAATTGCTTATTCCATGGCTACCTATTCCATGACTTCTCTCAACAAAAAGATGTACAAAAATGATCTATAATGGGTATGAAAGTGGTTGCACAAAGTTGAGTGTTGAATGTGACATTGACTTCGAAACTTTTGCAGATTCTCCTTTGACCACGAATACCTTTCCTATTCCTATACTGCCAGGGATGATGTTCCCAACTATTCCAACATGTACATCGACTTGCCTTTGAACTCGTCATCATCAGCTATTTGTGCTGTTTGTTATGCTTATGTGAGCATCGGTTGTATTATACAGGGAGTCCCAAAATAATGTGCAACTGTTTGATCGTTAAAAACTCTCTTGCTTTACTGTCTTTCGGTGAACTCTGGGCTATTATGAAGAGCGAAATTGACCTTAGATTTGCAGTATAGAGCGAGTTAATGGTCGCTCTTCATTAGTGAAGATTACGGTGAGACTTTCAGTATAAAGAAACGTAAAAAAACGTCTGAAAATTTTTTTTTCAAAAAACGTGTAAAGTTGTTTAGGAAGGTTTTCAAGCATGCTGTTTTCACTGCACAACTTTTTAGGAATTTTTTAGCTTTTTTTAATGGTCGCCAACACATTTCTGACAAATACTAAAGAAATAGGTGTTACGGTACACCTGCAATAATCTATGGAAAAGCATTACCGTAAAGTGCAAGATTCATATTCAAAATCGATTCCAATTTGATTAGCATGGTAAGTTTCTGGCTTGTTTGGTTTTCTTTTGGAAGCAAACCATGGCTAAATGCCTAAAATGCTTCTCAAAAATCCGACAATAATGAAGAACGATCTCTAATTCGTTTCCTACTGTAAACTAAGTTGTTCGCTCCAAAAGACTTTAAAACAAGAGAATTATCAACGATTAAACAGTGTGCACACTGTTTTGGGGCACCCTGTACAAAGTACCTAAGGCGCTCGCTTACGTGTCCATTCAGATAATTCTCTACGTATGGAAGATGAGCCATTTATACAAAGTCGATGCTACGGAGAATAGGAAACGGATCAAGGAATACAGGTATGAAGCAGTTTAGCTCAACAACAAAATCTTAATGTCGCTTCAGATATGCACTGCAGTTTTGTGCAATCTCCATATTTTACTTGTGTGGTTGGGTCACATTTCGAGTGTTCCCTGTACTGCTTGGTGCTAAAAGAGTAGAGTACTTTATAGTTATCTCAGCGTGCGTCACACTAAACTCATCAGCAAATGCCATTGTTTATATCAGTTCAAATTTGGAGGTATATACTAAAATTTTTGGAGATATACCTAAATGGTCTTGAAAGTTTTGTTTTCATTTTCATCAGCTGTTAGCAATGGATTTGAGACTTGCGCAAAAGAAATAAAGCTGCCCCAGTCTTTCCTGTGAACGATATTCCGTTTTTTGGAAGAAACGCGTATCAAATTAATTTTAATCAATTATCAAAACGTATAAGTTGATCTGTTTGATTACTGATATGGCAATAGGATAGATTAGAGCTGAGCAGAAGTGTCAAACTTAGTGACATTTGCTTTCTGTAGAAGAATGCGTTGAATAGTTTGATTTCAGGTTCGACATATACTTTCTGATTCGAGGGTCAGCACACTGGTTTATGCAAGTTCATCACGCACGGATCGTAGGCCTAGAACTAACCTCGTCTCACCATTGCAAAAGTGGTAGATGAAAAATATTTACTGAATTTACTTCTCCATTAATAATAAATGAGTATTTTTCCGCACCCTTCTATCACTCTAAATGCCACTCCAGCCACGTATCGCGTCATATTTTAGCCATAGGCATACTTCACGCGATTTCAGTCACGATGCGATTTAGCAATACTCTAGGTGTTTATGATTCATCATAAGCGCTTTTGCATGCACGAGATAGGGCATTCTATCAATATCGGAAGTCATACGTGGTACACATTTGTAGTTTACCAGTGTCATTTAAGCTCTTCTGGCATTCTGCTAGATCGCGTTGCGACCGAAATCGCATGAAGCGCTCGGGACTTTAAACACTCTTGGCTGAAAAAACAACAAGCTGCACATTTCTGTTGACAGCACTGAGATCTCACCTTTGCTTTATAGGTGATTAATAATTATGAAGGTTTCATGATTTTTGTCAGTTGATTGACTTTCTACTCCTTTTTTAAGAAGGCATACGCCATAACTTCTTTTCCTGAAATTGAGCTATAAGTTAGCCGAAAACTCCGTCTCATCCTTTCTTCCTAAAGTCTCGGCGACCGCGTCACAGATATATCAGGTTGGCTGAAAAATGTTTGGTCGTTTTTAACGTTTTGTAGAGATGTCATGGATAGATTCGTGTATACCATGTATATGTAATGTTTGGTAATATTCGAATAAGTAAATCAAGTTGAATCGAATAGTCAATTTTGTTTGATCAAAAATTATTTTGATTATTTTTAATGACGAAAAGGTGCAAGAAAGCAAATAAACCAGATTTTATCGTTAAATTTTCGGAAAAACGCTCCAAAAACAAAGTGAAATTAGGTGTAAAGTAAACGAATGGTACGCCCACATAGGACTTTGATATTTGCTACCATTCGCATGGCCTTAGATGGTCAAATTTGAGCGATTTGAATTGTCCCAGACTACTTCCACGCGCTGGAAATTCTCACATTTTTGGCTGCAGAAATACACAATCAGCAGATCATAGCCTGTATTGTGGTTTGCCATGTAGCCAAAGGTTGCATGTGTTCAATCACAAAATCACTCACCTGTGAACTTACGACAAGCTGAGGACGGAACTTAAAAATTCAAAAAAGTGATTTTTTTGGAGGACTAACCGTATAAGGTCATAATTGTCTTTTATCTTTGAGAATTCTATGTGATAATTAGTCAACCTGGATTATAGAATACGAATTTGTCCTTTAGAATATCTTGATTGACATTTTACCAATTCTGTTTTCCAAAGTGATTATTTAGCAAAAAAAAGGAACAATTTTAAGTTAGTATCAGTCAAAGCAGTGACACAAGCAAAAGCATGAAGCCGATAAGGCCCCAGGCATATCTCACGCGATTTCAGCGATTTGGCAGTACTCCAACTGTTTATAACTCATTGTAAGGGCATTCTGAACGAACAGAAGATGGAGCATTTATTGATCTGCGGAAGTCGTACAAAGTGTAAATCTGAAGTCTGCATGTAATGGATCTAAAGAGATCTGGCAAACTGCCATATCGCGTGCGACTGAAATCGCGAGAGGTATGCCCGGGGTCTACGTGACAACATAAAAAGCTGCAGATGCCGAAATCTTTGAAAATAGTGTCCAGGCAAATTTGAGCATATGGGTTTTTCGCATAGGAACTGATGAGGGGGTCCTATCTAAGGCACGGCCCAAGCGGCAGCTCAAATGACTCAATCCTAGCTGAGAAATCCGTCACTGACTTCACACCCATTAACGCTACGTTCGCGCAAGACCCACCCTAACTCACTCGGGAGTTAGGGAGTTACTGTCACGGCGCAGGCGCGGAGGGTTTGGGGACGGATTTCTCAGCCATGAATGAATCATTTGCGCTACCGCTTGGTCAATGCCTTGATTAGAACTCCCTCATCAATGTCAAGGCGAAAGACCATGTGCTCAGATTCGCCTGCACACTGCCCTTGAACGCAGTGTCCACACAGCTGAGGATGGTGGAAATAGCGGGGTGCTAGCAATAAGAACTTGCCCGCGTTCTGCTGCAAAATTCAAGTTGTCGAAACTCCAGATTTCATTAGGAAAGTGAAGAGCTAACATAATGCCAACCACTGTCTTCAGACTCAGCGACTCCAGACCATCCGTGAAGATAAAGGGAGCGGACGATTCGCATCAACCTCCTGACTTCGCTTGGTTTAACGTTCTAACTTCTCTTGCATTGCATTCAACATTTGCGGCGGAGCTTGGGTAGCTAGTATCAGGCTGCTGCATAAGTTCTGTCCGATTTAAATTTTCTGAGTTCAAAATGTCATAATTTCTTTCAAGTTCAACTTTTTTCAAGATTTAGTTTCTATGTGTTGAGCAGTTGTTTGGCTACTAGCATATTGAGATTTGCGAAAAGCCTTGGTGAGGAAGAAGCAAGAGCTCAAAAACTTCACAGCGTTTTTCCACAAACCTGTCTTTTTTGACATGGCAATGCTCCCTTGTGAGAATTGAGGCATCTTATCTAACAATGGATAGATAGAGAAACTTTTGTAGATTATTTCCAACATAAAAGGGTCTGCATTGCCGAGGGATTTTTTTGACCGAGCAAAAAAGTAACCCTTTTTGACTTCGCTGCAGCACATGTGTGCACGCTTATTTACGAATTATGAGAATTTTACCGTTAACGTGAGCGCCGAAAAGGAATTGGTGGATAAGCCTTGCTAGCTCTTGCTTTGCCCTAGCACCTCTAATATTGAAGTCATCAATTACTTCCATTCGCAGAAAGTTATTGCTTAGAAAACATTGTACAAAAAACTAATGTTCGACAATAAATTTTACTAGCAAGACGTTTTCTTCATGAAAATGAGCTTCTGCATATACTAGCCTTCTACACACTTATCCCGCAACCAATGAAAGAACTTGACTTGAAAGGCGCACTGTGGAGATTTTCTCGCAAGAACATATTTCTAGGGTGAGAACGTACCTCGGTCACTTGGAGATTTTAAGTCTGAAATCTCCTTACACTAAGAAACTTTTTCAATTTTGACATGCATTAGAGAGAGCAAGAAAAGCACTTTTCAAAGATACGAACAATGTCGCATCAAAGATGAAATTCTCTTAGAACAGCTGCTTGAAACATAAGGCAAAAAAAATCGGACGTTATGCAGCAGCCTAATAACAAAGATGATCAGAAATGGAAATGGCGTTGGTGAAGAGTTGCGCAGCATTTTGCAGAATAAAAAGCTAGCTCTAAAGTCACCCTTTTCTGTGGCAACTTCCTTGGCGGACATTATGCGCGATTTATTGCAAGGAAAATGTGTAGCGAAATGCAAACCTTGATAAGTAGCCGGATTTCGATAACGGAGCTCCTGCATATTTCATTGCGAGAAAATCGCAATACTCTCCCCATTGTAATCACTCATAGCTTCGTATGCAGAAGCGTCATAACGTAGTTTTTGAATTGGCGGTCAATAATGCGACATTTAGTAGCTCTTCTGTAACAGAGGCTTTGACTTGCGAGCGATTCCTTGTAAGTTCGGAGCAGTTATTGTACCCTACTAAAACCTCACTGATCTCAGCTTTGAATGATTCTGATGGTAGAGCTCGGTATTGCCAGTAAAGATGTCGGAAAGAGACAATAATTGGCCACGCTCTGGCATAGTATTGAAAACAAAAAAACCTTCTCCTTCACGCATTGTTTAGTGCTTTCTTTTGGGTTGGAACCTTATATGTGATGCCACTTCGGATCTTAGCACAATGCAAGAAGGAGTTTTGAAGCTAAATTCTATTATACTATAATGTGAAAATTGGGTATAAAGGCAAGTCTATGTACGAGCTTGGTTAGCTTATGTGAACCGAAAACTTTGCAATTTCAAATTCAAGTTTAACTTTGCTCTTTTTTGTTTTCGTAAGGCTTTGTTGTCCCAGCTTCCCATTATGAACATGCACAACAGGTTTGGTGCCATACATATCGCCTGTGCGTCGTAAGCGAGTCATTTATTTCACCAGAGCTTGAATGGCACCCAGTAAGATCGTGTTTGAGCACGTGTAATAAGCAGGGTTGAGCAAGAGGCCAAGCACAAGTCTTGAAACGACCCCTTGTGAAGGCCGCAAACGACCCCTCCGCTTCAACTCCAGTACTTCCACAGCTCTGGTATGAACGCATCCAGAAGTCCAAGGAGGAACAGAAATCGCAGTTGCAACTTTCCCGAGCCACTGTCTCTAAGCATGTTTCGATAGCACTGTCTATAGTGATTTCAGATTACAAAAAGGAGCAGGTAAGATGTCTAATAGATGCGCGGAAAGTGCAGACAAATCGGGATCTTGCGTGGTATCGCAGCATTCCTCTCAGTATAGTCGTCCTCCCCCCACTAGACACCTAGTGGACGAAATCGAATTTGAATTGGAGCACGCCGGCTGCGGCAGAGCGCGGCACCGTCAAATGCATTTCAAACTAGCACAGTTTTCTTTTGTGTTTCACTGTCGTTGCATAGTGATTTCTTTCTGTTTTAATGATGATTGTGGTCAAAATTGAAGGATTTTTTTGCTATGCGATGTTTCGTAATGCTATGCTCGTTCTTTCACTCTGTTTTAAGGAAAGGTTGGAAAAACGATGCATATGGGGAGTTTTTGACACGAAGTATTTGATGAATCACCACTTCGAGACCTACCGAGAACAATTCCACCAAATTTCAAACTTGGGCGTTTTTCCAAACTCAACTTGGAATCGTAGTCAAAGAAACGAGCATAGAAGCACGATCCATTGCTCAAACAAAAGCAACAATTTCAGTACGGATTGAGAGAATGTCAGCATTCGAACATGAGGTTGTATCGTCGGGAAAACACAAAAAAATTGTTTGAGATTGAAGTGACAGCTGCAGGTGCCGCGCTCTGCCGCAACCTGCGTGCTCTAGTTCAAATTCGAATTCGTCCACTAGGTGTCTAGTGGGGGAAGGACGACTATATAACCCTGCTAAAAGATTTTACGGTGCACAAAAAGCTCTATTCTCGTAATCAGCGGGTGCGAGAACCCCTACGGCGAAGTT